CGCTCCCCCCAGATATGGGGCCCCGCGCCGCGGCCGCCTGATCGCGGGCCTGGCCCGGCCGCTCGCAGGCTGGGGCCGCGGAGCGGAGCCGCTCCCCGTGCCCCCGCGCCCGAGCACTCGCCCCGCTCGCGGTCTTCCCGGGCTGGAGGCGGGAGGGCTGAGCGCGCGCGGCGCCGCGGCGGGTCCCGGGGAGCAGGGGCCCCGGACGCCTAGCGGCTCGAGCGGTTCGGGGCGCGCCGGAGGTCCCGGAGGAGGACTGGAGATGTCCTGTCCGTGCCGCCTCCTGCTCACCTACCTGTTCCCGGCCCTGCTGCTCCACGGTGAGTGCCGGGGAGGAGGCGGGTGGCGACTGATTGCCCGGGGGAGCCCGAGGGTGGGAGCCCCGCGAGCCTGTCTCCATCGCGGCAGCTCCCCGTCCCCGCGCGAGCCGAGCGCAGCCCCGCTCCCTCCTCACCCGGTTTCTAGGCTGCGCGCCCCTCTCCGCTGGCAGCGCCCAGAGCCCCGGGGCGGCTGGAGCATTCTTTCTGGAAGGGCGCAAAGCCTCCCACACGGGACTTTCATCTCCTGAAGCGGTTGCCTCAAGTCCTAGGGGAAACTTTTATCCACTGTTGGATTTTCAAGCTGTAGATGTCACCAAATCGCAGGCTCCGGGATCTCGTTCCCGAAGTGTCAGTGCCGGAGCGGCTCTTGATGGGGCCCGCGCTTTATGGGACAGTAAAGAGAAACTGGGATTATTTAAGCAGGAAAACAGCTCGCGCGCGGTGTTTCTGGGCCCCTTGCTAGGACTCGTGTTTTTTTGAAAGGGTGGTGATGGGGTTCTCTCCCAAGTAGACTGGACGCAGCTTCAAGGCGCAGGGGACTTCTGATAGCCAAGGTGTGATCATGAAAACCAGTCTCGTAAGTTCCCCGGAACCTGACTCCCTTTTTCCGTGGTGCCGTGGCTTGATCGTTTTGTTTCTGTGCTCCATGTGCCACCTTTTTCTCAGGAGCTTTAGTAAACTCTTACCCAGAGAACATCAGCGCCTTAAAAGCGTTCCAGGAATTGCTCCGAGAAAAAGAACACGATTGCCTGGGAGTCGCCAAGGCCGATTTTGTGCTAGAATGGTGTTGACCGGCTGCGAAACAAGGGTGCTGATTCAGATGTGATGAGCCAACTTTCCTCAGAGGGGACACCTGACTGTTGAGTGTCTCCACCAGGAGCGCGCTCTCGGTCCCCAGTACCTACCACAACCACCCCAAACCTCCGCAGATCACATCCGCACCCTCCAGGACAGGGCATTTCTGAGGGGACCCACAGCGGATGGAGCTGCAGAATGCATTGTGGCGAGCGCTGCCCAGCAGGCTATGCCCACACTAGAAGACCTAGATGGTTAACCTGCAAGCTGTACCTGGCTGTGTTTTGTTTTGTTTCATTTTTCTGTAGTCCTGCTTTGGGCAGGGGGCGTGGGCAGTGCAGCTCCACAGGCCTTGCAAACAGGTTGGGCTGGGCCAGACCTGCTTGATTGCCAAGGTGTCTTCTGAACTCTAGTGATTCCCAGACTTTAAAAGTCAGGATGGAAGGCTTGCAATTCGAGGGCCAAAGAGAGAAGGTATAATTATAGGGTTGCACTCCTAGGCCCATCTGCTTAGAATTACAGAGTAGTTTTCATCTTTGGCTGAAACATGAAACAAATCAGAGCCAATGAACAGATCAAACAGCAGCTGCCACACACACCAGAAAAAAAAGAGGGTGAGGGAGATGAAACAGAGAAAACTGTTCTCTTTTTAAAAATCTGTTGTAATATCTGTGAAGAAAAGAGATAGTATGGTGAAATGACTTTAAAATGAAAAATTACTTAACATTTGTCAAAAACAGATTTTTTTTTTTTTTTGCATGAAACATTGACTTTTGGAGTATAAAAGCCATCCTCAGAGATGCAACCTGGGCCAGGTCATTCTGATCTTGTTCTCCCTCCTCTGAGAGGTGGGGGTTGTAATTATACTTCCTACCCCACTCCACCCAGCTGGGATTTTAATAGCTGGCAGGTAACAGGAGCCCAAGTATGTCCATAGGGAGGTCTGGGGATAGCCCCAAATCTCCAGATTTGAATCTGAGTTGGCTTGAATCCTTGGGATCAGGGATTACCCAGACCCAGCTGTGCCCCATGCTGGAAGAACAGGCTGAACTCAGATTCTGGAGGACTGTGGGGCCAGACTCTGCATGTGTATGCACACGTGTGCTCACGCTATGTGCACATGTGTGTTCACACTATGTGCATGTGTGTGTATGACAAAGAGGATAAAAGATTAAAAAACAAAGGTTTGCAAAGTGTAATTGGATGACATGGATAACCCTACAAAAAGTTATCCCATTTAAAAGTGAATCTGCAGTGACAAAGTTATTAATATTGAAGTCCCCCAAAGGATCTACTTAGATCCTGCAGAGAATGTCCGACTCTAGGGAAGAAAATGAACGGGGTAGTTGTTCAGTATATAAATCCTCAGGACTTAAGAAAGGCGTGTCATAATTCATTAGGATAAAGGAAAACACCAGGAAAGAATTGGGTATTCTCCCTTTCCCCCCTTTTTTTGCCTGATTTGAAGTAGTTTTGACAAAAAGTGGATATTCATCAGCCTAACCTAAGAGAATGGCTCTGTCGTACTGTAGTTAGGGGTTTTGCAAGCACTTAAAATTCTGTAGTAACAGATGGTGCTTGATCACATATTTTAGTAGACATTATGAGTCTGAAGAAATTATCTGAACTCTCCTTAGAATGGCTTAATGACTTCTTCCTGATAAATAAGCATTTTATTTTGCTAACCATGAGACACCATTTGTCTATTAATGGTAGTGATTAGTAGGTAAAAACATATTTCTGTGATTATAAATATACTGTGACAAACATTAATAAATTTAGTTTTAGACATCATTAGACATTGTTACACTGATAAGTCACATAAGTATGATTAAAAAGTACACAGGCCCTCATGAAGATTCTGTGTGAGGATACTATTAGATTTGGCATCCAATTTTCATTTTTTTAATTACTTTTATTTCAACTAATTGCAAGTTATAAATCACCTTTAGGTCCTATTGGTGAAAAAATTAAGCTCTGATAAGACTAGAGTCCATTGTTTATTTTTGCTGGTTTTTTTTTTAAACTGGAAATGTAGTGCAAACTCAAGTTCCAAATTTGATGGCATAAAAGTATACATGTCAGTGTTACTTTCCTCTCCCTCAACTTCTAAAAACAATTGCATTTCTTAATCCAAATAAAACCTATTGGCTGTCGTGAAGGTATGCAGCTGGAAGATGTCCATTATCACTGTTTTCGTTGCTTAGATGAAAAGCCACAAAAATCATTCCCTTCCAAAAACACCGATTAGCATGAGGTATTCCAGAATAAATGGTGCTTTAATGTAGAGCAAAGTGATAATTCTCTTTGATTTTAAGTTTTGGCGCTGATGTTGACAGAGATGTTCTTATTCCCCACTGCTGTTTACTTTTGTAAAATTCATTGACTTTTCTGAACGGTGAAGACATTTTTTAGCTATTCCCTTTTATTCAAGCGTATATTCTTTCAAAAATTTTTAAAAACTATATATTAACAAATGATAGCTTAATAAACAAAATGTGAGGAAATATTTTAAATAGGGTAAAAAAAGAATCTTAGAAATGCCATTTTACTGTAGATAGTTCTTGTAAACAAGAAAACATTGTCTTTTCTGCTCCTTTTCCCCCTTCGTCATAAAATGAAAATGTTAAAAAGGAATATGACTCATCTGTTCATAGCAGGGCAATATTCTTAGACAGATGTTAAATATTATTTTGTGAAATAAATTGACTTGCTTCAAACATATGGTGAAGCAGATCTATAATCGCCATGTTCATTCTTTTTTAAAAAAATATATTTTATTGTTTTTTTTACAGAGAGGAAGGGAGAGGGATAGAGAGTTAGAAACATTGATGAGAGAGAAACATCAATCAGCTGCCTCCTGCACACTCCCTAGTCAGGATGTGCCCACAACCAAGGTACATGCCCTTGACCGGAATCGAACCTGGGACCCTTTGGTCTGCAAGCCGACGCTCTATCCACTGAGCCAAACCGGTCAGGGCCACCATGTTCATTCTTTAAAAAAATGTTCTTATTGATTTTATAGAGAGAGGAAGGGTGAGGGAAAGAGAGAAATATCGATAAGAGAGAAACTGTGAATGGCTGCCTCCTGCACACCCCCCACTGGGGATTGAGCCTGAAACCTGGGTATGTGCCCTGACCGGAATTGAACCAGTGACCCCCTGGCACATGGGACAGCATTCAATCAACTGAGCCACACTGGCCTGCTGCCATATTCATTCTTTTTCTACCTAAATGATAAAAGAACTAAACATGAGTAGATAATAGAGCTGTGTAATTGCATACTGTTTAGGGACAGTATAAAGAAAAGCCTAAAGTGTTTAGGAATAGAAACATAAAATGATAGGTTAATGATTATATACATCTACTGAAAGCTACGTAGCAGGACATGTCAATAGACTGCCTATAGAGTGGAAGTGATTACAGAGGAAACTTTAGTAAAAACCCGCCATCATCGTCCAATTGTGACTTCTCACTCTGTCAAGATTTTATATGTATAGGTCGTTCAGTTCTCTTCAATCGTGGAATAAAATTATCCTGGAAAGTCACATGATAGGTATCTAGGTAGAAAAGGGATATGATGTCACTCCAGAATAATTAATGGTATTCTGTTCTCTAAGGTTTTCCAGATGGTTCAGATACCCTACTATGTGCCAGGTGTCACTGCTTGCTAGGGACAGGAGTTGTGAGGAGGAGCAGTCCCCCTTTCCTGAAGAATCCTGCAGAATATCTAGGGGTGAGGAAGAAAAGCTTATTGCAGAGCCCCAGAGCTGGGAGGATGGCGCTACCATTGACTGTAGCCTCCTGCGGCCCCCCCCCCCCCGCCCCGGGGAGTCCCAGCACACCACACACACACACACACACACACACACACACACACGCGCGGACGCACCGCACGCACGCGCGCGCGCACACCACATGCACACAACTGTGCTGAGGAGCATGGGTGTGGCAGCAGTAGTGAGCTACAGACCCCAAAACGTAAATTTAGCAATTGATGGCTCAACCCTGATATCTAGCCTGGGGACCATGGCATCAGAAGAAAAAGACGTAGAAAATTACCTCGTGTTCAACTAAAGTCAAACGGAGCCAGGAATTTGAAATCTTGACTTCATTATACTTCTCTTTTAGATATGAAGTTTTAAAGATTGCAAAACCAGCTCTCTTTGCTTCTATCTAAAAAAAAAAATAATGGAAGTAAAAACAAGAGCTTGTTAAGCACAGGTACCCATATGGTAGTAAAATCTAGTAAGTCTGTGATACATACATGCTTTTATTCCCAAACATGAAAAGCTGTGCTGGAGTTTATCTAGCAGTATCCACTTCAAAGCACACATTTACTGTAATGACTGCTTATTTAATTGGGCAGGGCAATTTCATGGCTAAGTAATTACCTGCATTTAATCTAATCAGTCTCATTTTATCTGCTTCAAGTTTTGAGGTATCACACCAGTTCTAACTTGAGAATATTTTCTCACTCTGATTATCAAAGGACTGCATGTCACATTATATAAAATACAGAAACATGCAAAGTGAGCTAGAAAATAATCATTTAAAACACTCTACCAAGAGACAACCATTGTTATTATTTTGATATTATACTTATTTAGCCTTTTTAGCTGTGTTTTTAAGCATTGAAGTACATATATAGACACTAATCTGATCAAAGGTTAGTTTTCAAAGTGTGCTTGAAAATTGTTTCCTTCCCAACTAATTTTACATTTCATTATGTGTAACCTGGGTTGGAACTTTTGGTTCTAATCTAGATAGACAGGTGAAAAA